GGGGGGGGGGGGTGCGGCCGCTGGCGAAGGAACCTGGGCTACAGGCTGAGCCTGCGTCTCATCGCCCCTCGGAGTCCATCCTTTTAGAGGCGAAGAAACAGTCCTTTCTGTCGTTTAACAGCCTCAGTCTCTCTCCCACGACTATCGCCCGAGCCGGTCCGATGGTGGTTACGTGTCATACACTTCAACTCCTTTTAGTTTCAGGACACGGATTGATGGCTTTATTTTGTACAAAGACGCCAAGGAGGCTGGTACAGCCGTATTTAAAAAGTTCCTTTGACAAAGTCTCTGGAAATGAGCGCTTTAAAAATTCCTTGTTTTGGGGTATTTTTCCCGTCTGCCCTCTGACGTGCTGTCTGCCGCCTTAAGCGCCCGTGTTACTGCGCTGAGCAGACGGAGACCAAGAAATCCTCTTGTTAGGAGCTTGAGTTGAAGCGAGGCTCCCCGATCACCTTACGAACCTCTCCGTCGAGTGTTTCCCGGTGGCCGCCTTTTCTACAGTCCCCACGGTCGGTGGGCACGCTGGTCAGCGTTGGGGGTTCTCAGTGGGAGAGTCCTGAGCCCGAGGCCTGGCCCGGCCCAGCCGCGCGTCATGACCGGCGCTGCTCTTGTCCGCGACTCCACTGGCCGCCCCCCACCCCCCCAAGTTCCACTGACTCTTCAAATTCCGAGGTTTGAGAGTTTTAAAAATGCTTTGCTCTCATCAAGATAAGATAAAATTCTTTGGATTGGGACACTTTTGGATTGTGTTTATAAAACCCAGCAGAATTCAAGTGGTTTCTTGACTTAATAGGCCCCCTTGTTAAAGGGCCTCCGACCAGCCGACCTGCTGACGGAGCAAGTGATGGGCGTCCTGACACCGCCCCTCTGGGCCCCCACGTCTGCTTTCCCTTCCCGACGTCTGAAGCGAGTGTGCGTTTGTGCTGGATGCAGTTTGCGATCCGAGTCAACAGCTCATCGTTTTTGGATCCAGCCTATAAATGAAGTGGGCCCCGGAGCGTCTGGCTGCGGCCCCAGTTCTGGCGTCTTTGGGGCTGTTTACTTGTGTTTTCATCTAACTCACATCGGCTCGTCTGAGAAGAGATTTCCGGCCCTGCAGACCCGGCTGGTGCTCCGAGCTCGCCCTGGTTTTTCATTCTTCCTGAACCATTCGGTCTGACAGCCACTGGCTCGAGTTTCCAGTGTAGTTCACAGAGGCTCAGACGATTCTTACACAAGCACAGTCAGGGTCAGGACTATTTTTAGGGGGGCGCTTGACAAAGAGTGAAAGGCTTGGCACACGTGGAAAAGTTGAGCTCTGCTCTTGGAACCGTTTCGGACGCTGTCTGAAATCCAGGGCTCGCCCTGTGGGCCGCACTCTGAGTGGCCACGGGGATCTGTGGGGCTCAGCTTGTTTTTACGGCTTTTTATGCTCTGAGATTTTGGGTCAGACATTGTGAACCTTTGCATTTCTCATTTGTCTTTATGGTTAAAACTCAGGCATTTGAAGACATCAATGAAATGCTTTGGGGGGTGTTTCTGAGCAACTCGCCCTGTGGCACTGGGGTTACATTTCGGCGTAACTTTGAGGCAAACCACTAAAATCGGGCAGCTGGAAAGTGAGGCCACGGCACAGGGAAGGAGCAAAGCCCCGGGCTGGTGGTCAGACTCGGGGCTCAGAGCCAGGAATCCAGGTTCGGCCCCCACAGCGAGATCCTCGCCCCAGTCCTGGCGAGCGCTGGGCCTTCGTCCCGCATCTTCAGAGGTTGGGGGTGAGAGGATTCGGAGCCGCGTCTGCCGTAGAGGACGTTTCGATGGTGATCGGGCATCTGCTGTGATGCGGGTGTCCGTCTCGTCCCCCGAAGCAGCCCTGGCACACAGTAGGCGCTCAGGTGTCCTCGTTAGAGAAGTGAGCTCAGTGAGCGACTCCTGGGAAGGGATTTCCTCCCGGAAGCCGCGTGCAGGCCGGGCACACGGGGTCTCGTATGTGGTCAGAGGAGGGCGTCGTGGCCGCTTTGGCTCTGGGAGGGGACAGAAGGCCCTGCCACTGACCCAGCTCTCCAAGGTCACGGCCAAGGTCACTGTGGCCAATCTCCTTCCCCGTCTGCTCTACTGACACTTTTCACTATGGAAGCAAACGGCACCCAGGCCCGTCGATGACCTGCAGCCCGGGCCTCGGACCTCTGGGCGACGGCGACGTCCACCATCCCTCCCTCGCTGCTGCTACCAGGCCTCGTTTTGGTTCGGGGACTCCGTCCACCCCCTTCGTGTCTAATGTGCCCTCTGGGAACGTCTCTCAGGCAGCGACGTGCAGGGGGCTGGGGGCTGGGCCGTCGCAGCCACCGGGCAGTGGAGGCGCCTCTGAGAGTCAAGGCCGAGCCAGCGACTGTGTCCGGCCGAGGTCGATGCTCAATCCTTTCATAACCTGCCTTTTCCACATGCACCCGATGCTCCCTCTGACTGTCGGACAGCCGGTCTCGCCGTCTCAGCAAGGACGACACGAGCCTTTAACGCCAGGGAGACCTCACAGGGCCCGAGGGCAACAGCGCCCGCGCCCGCCGCGGCCACGACCCCCCAGCAGTGAGCGATGACGGACAGTGGTGACCTCTGGACAAAGGCTGGCGACTGGAACCTACCTGGGCCACTCCTTTGACCTGCAGATGTGCAGCTGGCGACCAGGAGGGGTCCCTGCTGCGCCTCCAACTGCCACGGACAAGCCAGCGTCTGCGCCGTTCACCACTGCGGTTGCTGGTTTTGTTGTTTTATTAATTCTTTTTTTAAAAAAATTTTTCTTTAATTGATTTTTTGGAGAGAAGCATTGTTGGCGGGGGGTTGGAGAGAGAGAAACAGTGATGTGAGAGAGCGACGTTGATCGGTCGCCTCCGGCAGCGCCCCGACCAGGGATGGACCCACCGCCTTTTGGTTTGCTGGGCGACGCCCCAACCAGCGGAGCCACCCGGCCAGGGCTGGTTTTTAATTAATTCTTCCTTTCCCCCTGCTTTTCCATGAATTTGCATTTTGCTTTAGAATTAGAACCAGTTCAGGAGATTTCTTTTTCTTTGCTGCGTTTCTTGCTGAAAACTGCCTCTGCTCCTCTCCGCACGGCCTGGCCTCGAAGAAGACGCTTTAGGAGCAAACCTTTGGGTCCCACCGGTTACAACTAAGTCCTAACAGTGTCCGGGCCCTCGCTGCCTTCCTGGAGGGAGGTCTCGGGGCTACGGAGCGGTCAGGCTGGCCGTGCGCGGGGGGGGCTCGGCTGCGCCCCTCTGGGGACCTGACCCTCCTCTACCGCGGGGCCGGCAAGCCCTCCGAAGGGCCGGGGTCAGCACTGCCGCCCTGCGGCCTCTGTCTCAGCTACTCAGCTGTGCAGTCGGGGAAAACGGCGCAGGGGCTATAAAGCGGGCGTGGGCCTGGGCGTGGGCGTGGGCCTGGGCCTGGGCCTGGGCGTGGGCCTGGGCCTGGGCGTGGGCCTGGGCGTGGGCCTGGGCTCACCCACGAGGCTTTATTCAGGGCGGGCACAGGCTGGATGGGCCCGGCTCTGCTGGCCGCCGCTCGGGGCCACCGCTGTGGCCTGCCCGGGCCTCACCCCCGCCACCCTTTTCCGTCAGGAGACCGTCCTGTTGAGCTGCCGCCGGCCCGGCCACCCTTCCACTCATAAGACATTTAACTTTGAAAGGTAAGTTTTTCCCGAGGACAGTGAAGCAAAGTTACCCAGGTGTAAATTCTGCATCAGGGTTTGATTGAAAAGTGTACAGCTTATCTCACCCTTTGGCTAATTGCTGGGCCGCGTGGGCGTCCACGCCCACAGATGGACGCGCCTTGACCCATACGTCCCTCCTTGTGCAAAAACTAACCGAAGTGGAATCCAGACCCAAATATAAAGCATGAAACCATAAAACTTTTTATTTATTTTTCCTCACTGAGGATATTTTTTCTATTGCTTTTCGGGGGGGGGCATGGATGTGCGAGAGACACGCCGATTGGTTGCCTCCCCCGTGCACCCCGACCTGGCCCGGGAATCAAGCCTGTGAGGTACGTGCCCTTGGCCGGAATCGAACCCGGGATCCTTCAGGCCGCAGGCCGATGCTCTAACCACTGAACAAACGGGCCAGGGCGAGACCTTAGAACTTGTAGGAAAACCCAGGAGAAAGTCCTGGGACCTGGGTTTAGCAGAGAATTCTTAGAAATGCCTCCAAAAGCGTGATCTATGGAAGAACAAAGGTCAGCTGGACTCCGTCACAGTTTAAAACTTCATTTTGCACGTTGACCCGTGTGGAATGTACTCTGGCATCGCACTGCCTCGGGCGCCTCCGAGTTTATCGCGTCCACTTCCACCCCGCTCCCCGCAGGGCACCGACCCGAGACGCCGTGTCACACGGCGCGCCCCACGCGCAGGCTCCTCGGCTCCTGGGCGCTCTCCTCTGTCTTCACTCATCCGCGTGGCCAGGCCACGGGGTTCTCGGGTCTGGGGCCTTCACAGCGCGTTGACGTCGGCGGCCCTGCCTCTGCTCTTTTCCAAGGTTTTCCTTTATTCTCGCTCTTTCCTTCTGTCGAATAAGTTTTATAATCAAATTGTCCAGCTCCAGGAAAACCCCGATGGTCTACGTGGCATTTGGGGGAGAATTCAGGTAAGTTCATAAACTAACTTTGGAAGAACGAGTATCTTGTGGAGCGGAGCCTCCAAGAACACGGCGTATTTTCCATTGACTGGAGTTTTTAATCTTGTGCTTCCCGGGCTGCGCTGTGGTTTCTTCCTGAAGGGTTAGGACTTTTTTTTTTTTTTAAATATGTCTTTATTGATTTCAGAGAGAGGAAGGGAGAGGGAGGGAGAAACATCAATGATGAGGGTCACTGACCGACTGCCTCCTGCAGGCCCCCAGCTGGGGATCGAGCCCACACCCGGGCCTGCGCCCCGACCGGGAATCGAACTGTGACCTCCTGGATCCTAGGCTGACGCTCAACCGCTGAGCCACGCGGGCCGGGCAGGACGTTTTTGCCCGGTTGGCGCCTGGGTCCTCATTCCCAGTTCTCTGGCCCGTGTGGGCCTTTCTCCCTAACGCCCCCCGACTCGTTCTGTGTGTGTGGCTCCGGACGTCGGCACGTGGCTCTGTAGCCTCTGCTGAGCTCTGTTCCCGAGCTGGTGGTTTCGTTCACCGCGGGCCCCACCGCCCGCCCTGCGACCCTGCGGCCCGCCAGCTGCTCTTTCCTTCCCGCGTCAGCCAACAATGGCCGGATGCGGGAGGAGCGGCAGCCAGGTGGCCCGACCTTGTCCCCTTCCTCACGCTGCCCGGAAAGGCTGCCGTGTTTCTTGTTAAGATGTTTACCGAGCCCAAAATACTCGCGTTCAGAGAAAGCTCGCCGCCCCCCGCCCCGGATTGAGCGCCTTAGAGGACGCCCAGGCCGCTCGCTGAGGGGGCCGGTTTGGATCAGGGTTTTACAAGCTGACGGGAAAAATAAGCTTCTTAGAGAGAACCGGGGAGGCGTGGACGCTGGCTTTGGGGGTGATATTAGGGCCTTACTGCTGACTTCAGACGCGTGATGACAGAGGTGCAGTTGCGACGTTTGAAAGCGTCGCCCTCTAGACGCGGACGAGCGCTCCCGGGGAAACCGCCTGCGGTCGGCTCCGAAGGCCGCGGGCAGCCGGGGGTCAGGGTGGGCGCGTGTGGGACACACCCGGGGCCCACTCACTGCCCTTCCTACTTTAATTTTTTTTTTGTTTAAAGCTGTGTCTACTTTTTAAAAAATGTTTCTATGGATTTCAGAGAGAGGAAGGGAGAGGGAGAGAGACAAACGTCTCCGATGAGGGCCATGGATCGGCTGCCCCCTGCGGGGATCGAGCCTGCACCCCGGGCCTGTGTCAGGACCGGGAATCGGACCCCAACAGGGAGCAATTTGGCTGCAGCTAAACCAAAACCTGTGTTTCAGGAAACTGAGCTTAAAATCAAAGCACATTCGAGTCCCGCACGACGCCCTGCCAGTGTGTGCTGGGTACTGGGCCGTCCGCCCGGTCCTGTCACCGGCCGCGCCCCAGGCCTGTCTCAGTTTGTGCAGCGGTTTGTCTGTGACCCGCTTCCTCCTCGCCGGCCCGTCCGTCCGTCCGTCCCTCCGTCCCTCGGCTCAGCCCGCGGTCCCTCGGAGCAGGCGTCGAGCCCCCCCGTGCGAGTGGCGTCCCGGGAACTGACCCGGGCCCGGGAGACGGCACCGGGAGGGGCAGGAACATGAAACTGGACTTCACTTTTCGAGTTTGCCCGGCCGACCTCGGCCTTGCTGTTGTGGGACCCGCCCCCGCGGAGCTCACGCAGCCGGGGGCAACCGCGCGGTGACCTTCCCGCTTTCCCCCTCGCTGGCTGCTTTCTGCTTTGCAAACCTTTATAACTTTGCTTCTTAACCTTTATAACGGAGGAAACGAATCTTCCCTCTTCCTTAAGCTCTGCTCACTTGAAAAGCAGCAAAACCAGTCTTTTACTGATGCAAACCGTGGCGCTTGGCCTAGCCGGGGGTTAGGTGGGAGGACAGAGGACGTGTCTCCTGAGAGGCTGAAGTATTTGGGCACCAGAGTCGATCTCTCCCCCCAGTAACGCCTCCTTTCCCCGCTGCCCCTCAGAGTCTACGGCCCAGCCGAGGGTCAGGGGTCGGTGTTCGCGGACGTGGGCCCCCTGCTCACCTCTCTCCTGGACGGGTGAGTTACATGCGCCGACGGTCACCCTGCCGGGCGAGCCTGCAGCGCCGGGCCTGAGCCTTTCGTCCGAGCAAACCCAGGGCCCGGTGCCGACAGGGGGCGTCCACCGGTGGGGAGCAGCCGGCGGCGGGAGGGGCACGAACGCAGGAGAGGAGCGGCCGGGAAGCGGGACTCGCACCTTGGGTGCCAAACGGTGTCCTAGTTACCTGCGTGCGGCCTTAAGACGAGGGGAGTAGCCGCAGTCGGGAGTCTTCCCCCCACCGACACGCGGGCCGATCCTCGGGGGGCGCTCGAGACGGTGGGGTGCAGAGGCTCCTCGCTGTCCCCGGGTGGCACCCGGGGGGCAGGGCTCACCTGCACCTGTGGCCGAAAACGTTCCAAATATTCTCCAAAATGTTCAGCTCTTCCTGTTGACATTTTGGGCGGGAAACCCCAGTGGAAGGAAGTGTAGGTCCGTCCATAGTCCCGTCGTCTGTGAAGTAAAGCCACAGGGAAACCACCCGAAGGTCGGGTCAAGGGGGACAGGCCGCCCGTCACAGAGGGCACGTGGCCCCTCCGCCCGGCAGGGCCCTTGGGGCAACAGCGAGCACAGGCGTGGTCACAGGGAAACTCGTCAGCGAGGCCAGCGTCACCTCGGCAACGGGGAACGTTTTTAGACCATCAAGGGCAAACAAGCAAACGCACGCCCTTCACGTGGGTTAAAGCGAGCCTGGCTTTAGGAAGAGGCGCTCACACCACACTGCCCCGGGCTGGGGTGAGTGGGCCTCGGGCAGCCTGGGGGGTGGGCCCTGAGCAGGGCCGGGGACCAGCCCCGGCTCCCGCGAGGAGACGCTGACATGGGAAACGGGTGCCGACGAGATGCGGGTGTGGCTGAAAGGGCCCCGTCCC